CAATTCTCCTGCCTCAGCCTCCTGAGTAGCTGGGATTACAGGCACGCGCCACCATGCCCAGCTAATGTTTTGTATTTTTAGTAGAGACGGGGTTTCACCATGTTGACCAGGATGGTCTCGATCTCGTGACCTCGTGATCCACCCGCCTTGGCCTCCCAAAGTGCTGGGATTACAGGCTTGAGCCACCGCACCCGGCCCAACGTCTGTGTTTTAATTGGCATATTTAAACCATTTAAGCTTAAGCTTGCCATTTTAAACTTTATTTTCTGCTTGTTTTCTCTATTTTTTATTTCTGTTACTTGAATAATTTTTTGAAGTCCATTTTGATTTTTTGTAGTGTTTTGAGTGTATGTCTTTGTGTAGTTTTTTTACTGATTGCTGTAGGCATTGTATTATATATGTATTATATATATATATATATATATATAACTGCATATATATTCACTATTATCATTTTACCAGTTCAGACTATAAATCTTACGTCCTTTTATGTCCCTTTATCCTTCCTTAATTTTAATATGCTCATCTAATATTTTCTCTGAATACATTTAGAACCAGGTTGGCCACTTATAATTTTTCTTCAATCATTGACTGTAACTTAGAAAACTCAAGAGGAAGAAGTTTATTGTATTTCCCCTTATATTTGTTTACCATGTTGTTTCTTCCTTCTTGATGTTCCAGGGTTCCTTTTCTTATCATTTCCTTTCTGTTAAGACAACTTCCTTTAGTTACTCTTGAAGCATGGGTCTGCTAGCAACAAATTCCCTTTATTTTCCTTCATGTGAGGCTGTCTTGATTTCCTATTTCATTCCCGAAGGATATTTTTGCTAAATGTAGGATTTTGAGTTGATGGCTCTTTTCTTTCAGCACTTGAAAAATGTGTTCCTTCCTTTTGGCCTCCATTGTTTCTGATGAGAAATCTTTGCCTTTCATATTATTTCCCCCAATGGTATCTCCCTAGTTGCTTTCAAGATTTTTGTTGTTTTAACTCAATTACCTCTGGAAAAAAAAAAAAAGATTTTATTGTTGTTAGTTTTCAGAAATTTGACTACTATGTGTCTTGTAGATTTCTTTGGATTTATTCTCTTTGGAGTTTGTTCAGCTTCTTGAATCTGTACATTCCCAAGTAGCTGGGATTATAGGTACCCACCACTGTGCCTGACTAATTTTTATATTTTTAGTAGAGACAGTGTTTTGCCATGTTTGCCAGGCTGGTCTTGAACTCCTGACCTCAAGTGATCTGCCCACCTCGGTCTCCCAAAGTGCTGGGATTACAGGCGTGAGCCACCATGCCTGGCCCTAGTTTACTTATGCTTTCCCCTTTCTTTTCCATTCTGCTGTTGAGCCCATTTACTTAGTTTTGTTTTGTTTGTTTGTTTTAATTTCAATTACTGTGTTTTTCAGTTCTATAATTTCCATTCTGTTCCTCTTTATATCTTCTGTTTCTTTGCTGAGATTTTCAATGTTTTCACTTGTTTCAAGCATGTTCATAAATGCTTACTTAAACATTTTGATGATGGCTGTTTTAAAATCTTTGTCAGATAATTTTAACATTTTTGTCATTGGTGTTAGCATTCATTAATTGCCATTTCTCATTTTGATTTTGTGATCTTTCTAGTCTTGATATGATGAGTAATTTTTAATTGAAACCTGGACATTTTGCGTATTATGTTATGAGACTCTGGATTTTATTAAAACCTTCTGTGTTAACTGGCTTCCTCTGACACCACTCTGACAGCAAAATGGTGGGTTGTAATGCTACCTCATTAATGCCAGGTAAAGGTAGAAGTCCAGGCTCCCTACTCAGCCTCTGTTTGACACAACGGGGCAGGGACATGGCAGGAACGGGAGTTTCAGCTCTCAACTAGGCTTTCACTGATACCTCTTTGACTGGGACAGGTAGGAGTGCTTGTTGCCACTGTGTAAAATCCTGATTCTTCACTAGATCTGTCATCACCCTAATGAGGAGAAGTATAGTCACTTTGTTACTGCTGGATAGGGGTAAAAGTCAGGGTCCACATGTAGTCTCTACTGATATCACTGAGGTACAGCCTCATTATCACCATGTTGGGTAAAAATTCCAGCTGGCCAGCATGGTGAAACCCCATCTCTACTAAAAATACAAAAATTAGCTGGGTGTGGTGGCACATGCCTATAGTCTCAGCTACTCAGGAGGCTGAGGCAGGAGAATAGCTTGAACCCAGGAGGCAGAGGTTGCAGTGAGCCAGGATTGTGCCACTGTACTCCAGCCTGGCGACAGAGCGAGACTCTGTCTCAAAACAAAAACAAAAACAAAAAAATACCAGCTTCCTACTTGGCCTTTTCTAACACTATCCCAGCAAGATGGCTGGGAGGATCTTGTTGCATCCTG